TACTACCCAACACTCTAAACTATACAGCATAGTCACTCTCACCATATTTTTGTAGAACTTAACTTTAAGACTCATTGAAATTTTCTTGTCACCTCTCTTACACATTAAAAATGTTATTTATTAATTGCTTACTAATTTGGTTTTTATAAAATTTTTCTTTATAACTAATTATGAAAAACAACACTAACAAAATGTACTGTTTTATATTTAGATTTTCAATTTAAACTATACAACAAACAATTGAAATGGATAGATTGAAAAGTATATATTACAGGCAGGATGTACTCTTAAATTATTTGATGGATACTATAATGATAAAGAACATAAACGAAGAAAAAGCTTTAAGATCTGTTGATATTAGATCTTATTTTGACATTGAAGAATATCAAAACCAATTGGAATCAACCAAATGGTTAAAAATTTATGAAAACTTATTTGCTGTTGAATCTCTAATTAATTTACAGCTAAGTTCTGGACACAAATTTTTAAACATCGGATCTGGAATTGGTTATATCAGTACATTGGCTGGTCTGTTGATAGGTAATCTTGAAACATTACAATTATGTAATTATGTATGTAAAATATTCAAATTGGTTTTCCTTTTTAACAGACTAATTAATATTAAAATTCAATCTTATTGGATTTTTCTCATTAAGTAATATCATAGTTTCATTTTATCTTTTTAGGTAAAAACGGTGTTAATCATGGAATTGAAGTTAATGAAAGATTCGTAGATTTGGCACGAGAAAAGTTAGCAGAATTTAATATGAATTCTGCTGCAATAGATCATTTTGACTTTTGTGAACCAATTTTTATCCATGGTATATTGAATACATGTAAAATCAATGTTTTTAAAAAAATAATGTTTGTATAAATTATTAATATAGGAAATGCTTGTGAATTATTATCAGCGGGTTATTATGATAGGGTTTATTGTGAAGCTGCTGTACCAAGTGACAAATTGGAATTTATGAAATCTCTTGTTAAGGTTTTTATTTTCTATTAATACATTAAAAAAAAAAAAAAAAACATTTAGTATTATTTTGCTAATTAGTATATTTTCTAGATTAATGGAATATTAGTTATCCCATACAAAGGGTTTCTGTGGAAAATGATTAGACAGAATGAGAATGAGTACAATGTTAAAAGAATAAATGATATATTAACATATGCATTTTCAGATCTCATAGTACGTGGACCTTGTTGTTTAACAACTGTGACTTTTCGTAAGTTCAAAATTAAAATGTTTTAAATTTTGATTTTATTTAAAATTTTTACTATTTTGCAGCTCCTGTTAAACTGTTAACTTTGCAAGAGTTGTGTAGAAATCAAATTCGTTCATCAATACGCCAAAACTTGCAAAAAGAAAGACCTGAATTGGAAATACGCACTAAGTGCCTCGATTTAAATAGCGAACAACCACTAGTTTGTGAAGAAGATAAAGCTGAAGAAAAGTTTACTTTTGATGTAAATTTCATTGATGATTATATATCATTCTTAGAAATAATGAATAGAACTGATATTCACTCTATTGCTGGTACATCGCGCATTAAAACACACACTTTTGGTGATTTAGTGGAAAAAAATGGTATGATTAAATTATTGGTGTTAAATAATAATTATAGTACTAGCTGGGTATCTTTTATACTTTGGTTGTTTGGCAATTTAGATAAAAGTGGAAATGACAGCATAGCTAAGAGAGAAAATGATAGCGGAGCTCCCCATGATACAACAATTTATCATTTCATAAAAGACTACAGAGTCAACCAGTTAAGTAGATGTTTAAAAGAAAAAATTTACTCGTTATCAATACCGACTCAGCTGAAAGATTTCCTTACTCTATTAATATTTATTCTATTACCTAATGTATAAAATAATTATTAATTTGAATCATAGTGTCAACTATTTAGTTTGTGTCTTTATGATGAAAATTCTTTAAAATTGAAGTCATTTTAAGTGTACAACTAAAATATACATATTTAAATTAAATTGTAAAGGTAAATATAAATACTAAACTATTAATATATGTTTTCTACATATTTATTATTAATAATTTTCAATTAAAGATTACAATTTCATTTACTTAAAAATATTGTTAAGGACAATTAAAATATACATATTTAAATTAAATTGTAAAGGTAAATATAAATACTAAACTATTAATATATGTTTTCTACATATTTATTATCAATAATTTTCAATTAAAGATTACAATTTCATTTACTTAAAAATATTGTTAAGGACAATTAACCTATCAATAAAGAGTATGTCTGGTCATCATAGCCATGCGATTGTTTATGAAAAAAAATCTTGTTAGCAATATAATTTTTTGTTCATTATTAATTTATTTGAATCCAAAGTATATTTACTATCATGCTCACAAAAGATAATATGTGATGCAAATATAGTTATAATATCTATATAGTTCATTTTGTTAAACTTTTACAATTTTTTCTTAATATTAAGAAGTAATAATAATAATATAGTAATAATAATAAGTAGCAATATAATTTTTTGTTCATTATTAATTTATTTAAATCCAAAGTATATTTACTATTATACTCACAAAAGATAATGTGTAATGCAAATATGGTTATAATATCAATATAGTTCATTTTGT